GTTCGTCTCCGAGACCGGGATACTAGCCTGGCGGCAGCCCAGCCTAGGGGGGGCCCGTGGAGAGAGCGGCGGGGACAGACAACACCGACCCTCCACGCGGAGGGGCCCCCAAGGGACAACAGGCGAGGGTGGGGGCGCAGCGAAACGAACACCCCGCGGCCCAAGGGCAAGCGGGCGTGGCCAGAGCCCGGCCCGAGAGGGACCCGAGGAGAGCGGCGGCGGGGACAGACATCACCGCACCTCGTACGGATCCCAGGTGCACCTGGCCAGGGGATACGGCCGCCATTCCCCGAGGGGCATCCAGGGTCGCAGCTAACCGCCGCTGAGAGGAAGGTAATACCGAACGGTCGATCTTTTCGTCCACTACTGGTGTGGGTCCAGGGTGGGAAGTCTGCAGCCAGTGGACTGACTCGCTGAGGGCAGTGCTGCCACCTCGAAGGCCGACGCATCCATGGTGTGTGTGTGTGTGGGGTGGGGGGGGGGGGGGGGCGCAGCGATCCGCTGCTGAAGTGTAGAAAGGAAGTCTCGTGCCCGCAGTCTCAGCTGCTCCCCGCATGGATCCAGGGTCGCGGCTAAACGCCGCTCTGGGTAGAGCGAGGACGGAGCGTCCACGAAGGGTGGCGGCAGACGGCCCTTGGCCGACAGCACCGGGATGCAAGAGTACCTTGAGCTCCCGCGGGAGGCCTCGTGCCCGTAGTCTCAGCTGCTCCCCGCGTGGATCCAGGGCCGCGGCTGACCGCCTCTCTGGGTTGAGTGAGGACGGAGCACCCACGGAGGGTGGCGGCAGACGGCCCTTGGCAGACAGCACCGGGATGCTAGACTACCATGAGCTCCCGCGGGATGCCTCGTGCCCGTAGTATCTGCTACTCCCCGCATGGATCCACGGTCGCGGCTAACCGCCGCTCTGGGTCGAGTGAAGACGGAGCGCCCACGGAGGGTGGCGGCAGACGGCCCTTGGCACACGGCACCGGGAGGCACGAGTACCTTGAGCCCCCGCGGGATGTCTCGCGCCCGTAGCCCCTGCTACCCCCCGCATGGATCCAGGGTCGCGGCCAACCGCCGCTCTGGGTTGAGCGAGGACGGTGCGTCCACGGTGGGCGGCGGCAGACGGCCCGTGGCAGACAACACCGGGATGCAAGAGTCCCTTGAGCACCCGCGGGAGGTCTCGCGCCGGTAGTCTCAGCTGCCCCCCGCGTGGATCCAAGGTCGCGGCGACCGCCGCTCTGGGTTGAGCGAAGACGGAGCACCCACGGAGGGTGGCGGCAGACGGCCCTTGGCAGACAGCACTGGGATGGAAGAATACCCTGAGCCCCCGCGGCACGTCTCGAGCCCGTAGTCCCCGCTACCCCCCACATGGATCCAGGGGCGCGGCCACCGCCGCTCTGGGTTGAGTGAAGACGGAGCGCCCACGGAGGGCGGCGGCAGACGGCCCTTGGCAGACGGCACTGGGACGCAAGAGTCCCTCGAGCACCCGCGGGAGGTCCCGTGCCCGTAGTCTCAGCTGCCCCCCGCGTGGATCCAGGGTCGCGGCTAAACGCCGCTCCAGGTTGAATGAAGACGGAGCGCGCGCGGGGCGCGGCGGCAGACGGCCCTTGGCCGACAGCACCGGGACGCAGAGTACCTCCAGCCCCGCGGGCCCCTCCCCGCCGGGGGGGGCGACGGAACCGGCGGCCAAGGGCACGGCCGCTGGACAGAGGCACGCGCGGACCCTTCACTGCCAGTGCGGCTGTTTCTTGCCCTTCCTGGGTGCGCGGGTGTCCGGGTGGCCCATTGCCGCCTGGCGACCCCTGCCCGCGCCGCCGCCTCGGCCCGGGCGCCGACGCCGCAGCTGAGCCCAGTCGACGCCGAGGCCCAGCGCGTCGCTAACGGCCCGCACGTTGCACTTGTGGCTGCGGAAGGAATCCAGGAAGCGAAGGCAAGTTCGCGGGTCGCGCCGTTGCGGGTCGAGTGCGCCTTCGCTGCCAGGCGCGGCCTGCTGCGCGGCGAAAGCGCGCCAGGCGCCTGTGAAAATTGCCCCCCGGGTGACTTGTAGCCGCCCCGTCGCCTCGCCAGGTGTCTCCCCGGGAAGGTCCCACTGGATGGTGCCGATCTTTGCTTTGCACAGCTGCTGTCCCGTGTCGGGGTCTAAGGGCTCTGGCCATTGGCGCGGCCCTGGCCATTGGCGCTGCCCCGTGTTCTGGCCGCAAGTCTCCAGCGAACCAGCCCCGCTGTCCTGGGCGGAGGGCTCGGGATCTGTTTGCGACAGTTCCGGTTGCACGCCTGGCGGGGCCCTGCGGGCAGGCGCGGGCCGCATAGTTGGCCGCCAGGCAGGAGCCAGATCGCCTCCGGCAGCCCGGGCGGGCGCTGCCCTGAGGTGCGCGGGGAGAGGCCCCTTTCGCCGGCGTTCGCCTTCGGGCCTGGGCCCGCCGTCGCCCACGGGCGCGCCCCCTTCAGTCGCCGCGAGGCTCTCGCCGGACGCGGGGGCGCCGCTGGTCGGTCGTACCAGGTGCGCGCACGTACGGCGACACCGTTTCCATTGCCAGAGCACAAACTTCTTTGTCAGGCGTGTCCTGGAAGTCCGGAGGGAGCGCCCGAGGTTCGCCGCCCATTCGGGCGGGTTCACTGGCAGGGGAAGGAGGGCGAATAGGCGCGAAGGGGTTTCTCCCGACGAGCCAGCGGATGGCTTGGATGTCCTGCGTCTGAACGGCTGGCCCGCGGTCCCCATGTTGGGTCTGTGGCGCCCCCAGAGGACTGCTGACGGTCTGCCTATTTTGTTGAGAAGGTGGGGATGGCACACTGTGGCAGGCGAGCCCCTGCTGGTCCAGGATCTCGCTTCGCGGACTGTTGCAGCTGCCGTCCGCACTTTTCGGAAGCCAACCCCTGCCCACTCCATTCTGCTCCAGGGGCACGGCTGACGGCTTGCGCCCCATCCGCACCTTCAATGGCCCCCGCCGCTTCAGGCCCCCGATCTTCCGCGGCCTCCGCAGCTCCCGCCCCTCCCGCCGCATCCTCCACATCCTTCTCCTTGTCCTCCAGGGTCGCATCTCCTGTCCCAACCGGGCAGCTGGAGTCGAGAAGATGGCTCGGGCACTGAGATGCAAGAGTGCCTTGCATCTCGGAGACCGGGCATCAGGGAGCAAGGGCACCTCCTCCTGACCCGTTCCGCCTCCTTTTACACCCGTCGCATCTGCCATTCCCCGCAGGGATCCAGGGTCGCGGCTAACCGCCGCTTTGGGTTGCGAAGTGACATCCTGGCAGCCTTCTGGCCCAACGTGCCCATATTTCCCTTGTGAGCCTGACGCCATAGCCGCCCCGGGCTCGACTTCTCTTCTAAAGGTCTGCTGGCCGCCAGGGGGGCCCGCGAGGGCGAGACGACTCTGGCGCGGGGAAGCAAGGGTGCCTCGTTCGCCAACGGACCCATGGCTGCAAGGGTGCAAGGGAACCTCTTCCGCGCAGCTGGAATCGTGAAGATGGCTCGGGCACTGAGATGCAAGAGTGCCTTGTGGTCTCGGAGACCGGGGATCAGGGAGCAAGGGTACCTCATTCTGACCCGTTCCGCTCCCTTCTGGCCTGACGGACCCTGTGTCTTCTTGCGGGGTCTGCTGGCTTCCAGGGGTGCCCGGAAGGCCGTCAGGGAGCAGGGGTACCTCCTTCTGACCGTCAGAGAGGGTGCCGTGAGGTCTCGCGGGTCCCTCGTCACCAGGGTCGCGGTAGACGGCTGTCTGAGCTGTTGTGGGTCTCTGCGGCTGCTGCTGCTGCTGCTGCTGCTGCTGCTGCTGCTGCTGCTGCTGCTGCTGCTGCTGGTGCTGCGGGCGTCGCTGTCGCAGTTGCTGCAGCTGCCGCGGGGAGGCGTCGCAGGCGGCCGCGGCGGCGCCAGCCGCGGCGGACCCAAGCGCGGCCGCGCGGCCCGCGGCCGCGGCGGCGGCAGCCTCCGCCACGGCGGCGGCAGCCTCCGCCACGGCGGCGGCGGCGGCGGCAGCGGCGGCAGCCGCGGCGCCGGCGGCCGCGGGGCGGCGGCGGCGGCGGCGGCCGCCGAGCCCTCCGCCGCCGCCGCCACCGGCGAGGAGGCAAGAGCGGCGCCGGCAGCGGCAGCGGCGGGGCCAGCGCCCAAGGCGGCCGCAGAGGCCGCCATGGCCGCGGCCGCGGAAGCGGCAGCGGCGTCGGCGGCCGCGGCGGCTGCCGCGGCGGCGGCGCCGTCGCCGGCGGCCGCGGGGGCGGCAGCGCCTGCGGCGCCAGCCGCCGCAGCCAAGCCAAGGGGGCCGCCGCAGGCGGCAGGCCGGGCGGGCCGCAGGCGAGCCGGGGCGGCAGCGGCGGCGGCGCGGCAGGCAGCCCCGCGCCGCTGCCGCCGCCGCCGCGCCGACGGCGACATCATAGCGGGGCGCGGCGGGAGCGCGGAGGGGAAGCCACGCCCGCGCTCCCGCAGGAGGGGGGGCCGAGGGCCAGGGGCAGGCCCCCGGCCGCGGCCCAGCAAGCCAGCTCGGCACCTCGAGCCAGAGCGGCTTGAGCCAAGGGCTACGGAGCTGGTGGAGGTACGCGAAACGTCAGGAAATTATTCCGACTACCCGGTGGACGTGCTGGACACTTGAAGGCGGCTGGGGGGTCAGAGTCGGATGGGACCCAAGAAAATCGGTCAAGAGGGTGGATTAAGCCAAATCCGCTCAAAATCGGCCCCGAAGGATCCACCTGGTGCAGACTTTCACCCCAGATCAATGTTTGACGACCCCTGGGCTCGAAAACGGCCCCTGGAGGACCAAAAAAACCAAACAACAATTCATCGAACCCAGCGACTCGAACCTGCCGCCTCTTCTGTTGGCGGGAACCAGTACTGGGCCACCTCAGACCCCAAGCCGACACCGAAGGAGGAAGAGGAGCGAGGACTTCGGCCTCTCGGGCCCTTCCAGGAGCCTCCGGGGGCCTCTATTGGGCCTCTTGGAGCCTCTTGGGGGCGTCGTGGAGAAGGCCCTCAGGGGCCGTTTTTGGGCGGTGCTTGATGTGAAGACCTCCGCCCGCCCCTTGGGCGCCTGCAGGCAGGAGCGGGAAGGGTACACCGGGGCGTCCATGCACACGGCGTGCAGCGTCGTGTGGCCTCCAGTGAGGGGGGTGCGCGCAAGCGAGGAGGAGGAACGGGAAAGGGGGGAGGAGAGGCGGGGCAGAGGGGGATCTTCCTCCTCCTCCTCCTCCTCCTCCTCCTCCTCCTCCTCATCCTCCTCCTGTTCCCCTTCTCCTCCTCCTCCTCATCATCATCCTCCTCATCATCCTCCTCCTTCGTCTCCACCTCCACCTCCTCCTCCTCCTCCTCCTCCTCCTCCTCCTCCTCATTATGTTGCTGTTCATGTTCCTGTTCCTCTCCTCCTCCTTCTCCTCCTTCTTCTCCTCCTCATCACCATCATCCGCATCAACATCATCGACTACATTATATCATCATATCAACATCATCATCAGCAGCAGCATCATCATCATCATCATCACCACCACCGCCATCATTATCATCATGAACACAATCATCACGACCACTACCACCATCATCATCGTCATCAGCATCATCGTAAACATCATCATCATCATCATCATCATCATCATCATCATCATCGTCATCATCAGCATCATCAGCATCAGCATCAGCATCAGCATCATCATCATCAACAACAACAAAGAACGCTGGCTTTCTGAGCCCCTTCCAATGGGGCGAGCTTCCCCGTCGCTCCCCACGGGAGGTACGCCGGGTTTCTGACGCGCCCTCTGGGGAAGCGGGGGGGGAGCGCCGCATCGCATCGCACTGGCTTACGGGCCAGCCTCGAGTGGGAATCGATTCGACTGCCAGATCCCATCGAGGAGGCTAAGGCGCCTGCAAGCGCCGAAACTTCCCAGGCCATGTCGTTCCCACGCAAGCCCGATTTCTACTAAACCCATAATGAGGGATCCCTACTAAGGAACCTTTCTTCAGAATGATCCTGGCTAACCGAATTTTAGCCAGGAATCCTTGATGGAAGAAAACCCTTACTACAGAATCCTTACTAGGAGACCTTAGTCAAGAAACCTTGCTGAGGGACTCTTACTCAAGACTCCTTACTAAGAGAAACCTGAATGAAGCAACCTTACTACGGAACCCTTATACATAATCCTTACTGTGGGAGTCTCACTCAAACGTTCTTACTCAGATAACCCGAACAAGCAGTCCTTACGATGGGAGTCTGTCTCACTCAAAAAATTGTACTGCGAAAACCTGAATGACGAATCCTTACTACGGGACTCGAAGTGAAGATTCCACCTCAGCTAAGAAGTTTCACTACGGGAGTATGAGAACCTTGGTGCAGAATCCCTACTACGGGGCTCTGACTCAAAAGTCATTACTAAAAGCACCGTTGTAAATAATTCTTACTACGGGTCTCTTTCTCAAGGGTCCTTCCTAAAGGGAATATTAATACAGAAACCTCATTGCGGGATTATTACTCAAGAGTCCTTACCAGGAGAACCCAAATACCGAATCCTTGCTATGGGAGTCTTACTCAAAAGTTCGTATTCAAAGAACCTGGATGGAGAAACCTTAATGCGGGACTCTTACTCAAGAATCCTTGGTAAGAAAACCTTGATAAAGAAGCCTCACTGCAGAAACATTATTCAAAAATCCTACTCAAGACTCCTTACCAAGAAGCCTTACTACGGAAATGCTACTCAAGAGTCATTACTAAGAGCGCCCTCGCTCCTGGGCTAACCATCACCCCTCGCTCCCTCAGAGCGTACGTCCTACAACCCTCCGCCCTCCCCGCTCGCACCCTCCATCGTCGTTATCCTCACCATCCTCATTATCACCATCATCATCAGCAGCACCATCCACAGATTCACCACCATCAGCATCATCATCATACCAACATCATCACCACCACCATCATCAGCATCATCCTCACCATCATCATCAGCAGCATCATCATCATCATCATCAGCTGCAGCATCATCATCAGCAACATAAGCATCATCCCCATCATCGTCGTCATCATCATCACCATCACCAACATCATCATCGTCGTTGCCGTCGCCATCATCATCATACCATTCATCGTCAGAATCATCGTCAACATCAGCACCACCATCATTATCAGCTTAGTCACCACAGTTGTCAGCATCGTCGCCACCATCACCCCTGTCACCACCATCAGCATAGCATCACCAGCAGCAGCAGCCGCATAATGGTGGGCATCGTCATCCTCATCATCACCAGCATCATCGTCAATATCATCACGTCTTTAGCATCGCCACCGTTATCGCCATCAACATCACTATCGTCACCGCCATCATCGTCACCATACCTACCCGTGCCACTGGAATCAGCACCCTCATCGCCGCCATCGCCATCACCACCAGCATCACCACAGCCAAAGTATCACCATAACACTAGCCACCCGCATCAGCAATAGCATCATCACCAACCTCGCCAACACAACCATCATCGTCGTCAGCATCAGCAACGAATTCACCGTCATCATCATCATAATCGATATCATCATCATCATTCACAGCGTCACCGCTACCATCACCACCATCACCATCAGCATCAAGCATCAAAATCAGCATCATCAGCAGAGTCATCGTCCGAATCATCAGCACCATCATCAGCACGATCAGCATCATCAGTATTGTCATCATCCTCCTCATCATCATTCGCATCACCATCACCATCGTCGTCATGAGAATCGTGACCATCATCATCATCATCATCATCATCATCCTCATCATCATAATTAGCATCAGTATCTTCACCCCCAGCATCAGCAACAACACGATTCGACACCACCAAGGGCATAGTCATCACCACCGTCTCAAGCGAGGAACCATTATGAGAGAGGGAGAGCGAAACACAGCTGAATTCTTGAGTACACTGCGAAGGACTATCGAGCGAGAGCTCGACTCCTGAGTAAAGTGTGCGGAAGGCTTGAGCGACAAGTCTAAGCGACAGCGCGTAAATAGTACATAAGTTTGGAGCAAGAGCACAATTCCTGGGCAAATCGCGAGGACGTGTCGAACGAAAGCGCGATTCATTAGAGGATTGGGGAGTCCCCACGGATCCGTTGGAATCCCTCTGAATCCTGAAGGATCCTTCGGGCTCCATCGGGACCCTCTGAAACCCAGAAGAATCCGAAAGACTCTTCTTGAACCCGAAAAAACCCAAAGGCATCAGAATTCGCTGGGAATTCACAGAAATCCGATGGAACCCGCAAGAACCCACAGGTTCCCAGAGGACTCCTTCAGAAATTCTCTGGACTAAGAATCCTCAATAATCCCTAGCAATTCAAAACACTCCGTACACATCCGTAGGAATCCCTTGGAATGCCAAGGATTCTCCAGGAATCCAGACGGATCCCCAGAAATCCATGAATGCCAGGATCTCGTAGGCGCAGCGCCCCCCGCCTCCGCCCCCCCCCCCCGATGCGATGCGATGCCCCCCCCCCGTTCCCAAGGCGGGCGTCTGAAACCCGTCGTTCTCAACAACAGCAACAACAACAACAACAAGAACAACAACCATTTTAAGGCTGTACGCTCTTGCTTGCCCGCGAGTCATTCAACACGTATACCCTACACCCTCGATACCCGCCCTCTTCGTCTTCGATCACACCCCTTTCGGGGGGATTATTTCTCTTTGCTGGGGCCGGCGGGCTTAGACGTACGGGCAAACCGGAACGGGCGGACAATCCTTCGGGGGCGTACATCTCTCTGCCCGCCATTGGAATTGGCGCGGGCCCTGCAAGAGGAGGAGGGGAAGAACGAGGGAGAGTGGGAGGAAGGGGAGGGGGAAGGACGAAGGAAGAGGGAAGATACCACGTTGTGAAGGCGTCCTTGGCGCGTGCGTGGTTCCTGAGCGCCGAAACGCAATTCCAGAATAATTTGTGAGGACGTCGCACGCGAGAGCGCAGTCCTGAGTACATTGTGAGGAAATCTCAGGCGGAAGCGGGGGCCCTGACTAAGTTGCGAGGAAGTCTCAAGCGGGAGCGCCGTTCCTGAGCAAATTGCACGGAAGTCTCAGGCGGGAGCGGGGGTCTTCACTAAATTGCGAGGAAGTCTCAGGCGGGAGCGCCGTTCCTGAGTCAATTGCGCGGAAATGTCAGGCAGGAGCGGGGGTCCTGAGTAAAATTCGAAGAAGTCTCAGGCGGGAGCGCCGTTCCCACGTAAATTGCACGGAAGTCTCAGGCGGGAGCGGGGGTCTTGATTACATTGCGAGGAAGTCTCACACGGGAGCGCCTTTCCTGAGTAAATTGCGCGGAAGTCTCAGGCGGGAGCGGGGGTCCTGAGTAAAAATCGAGGAAGTCTCAGGCGGGAGCCGTTGTTGTTGTAGCCCGGGGGGCAGGGGCACAGTTTGAGCAGGAAGACTTTCCTTGAGAAAAAACAAGGTGCGAGCCCCGGGGGTGGTACTTCAATCGAAAAAAAACAATGTGCACCGGTGGGGGGGGATCAACAATAATTATTCTTCAAGAATGAGAGTTCAACAACAACAACAACAACAACAACAACAACAGCAACAACAGCAACAACAACTACTACTACTGCTACTACTACTACTACTACTACTACTACTACTACTACTACTACAACTACTACTACTACTACTACTACTACTACTACTACTACTACTACTACTACTACTACTACTACTATTACTACTACTACTACTACTACTACTACTACTACTGCAACAACAACAACAACAACAACAACAACCGCAGCAGCAGCAGCAACAACAACAACAATGACAGCGATAACGATAACGGCAGCGGCAACGACAACGGCAACAACAACAATAACAACAACAAAAACGACAGCAACAACAACAACAACAACAACAACAGCAACAACAACAACGACAGCAACAACGACGAGAACAAGAACAACCTTAACAACAACAACCACAACAACAACAACAATAAGTACAACAACATCATATCTATAGTAATCATCCTCATCATATTCCTGAATGTCCTCATCCTCATCCTCATCGTCATCAGCAGCAGAAGCATCATCACCACCTCCACCACCATCATCATCATCACCACCGCCATCAGCATCATCATCA